GTGTGTGTGTGTGTGTGTGTGTGTGTGTGTGTGTGTGTGTGTGTGTGTGTGTGTGTGTGTATGTGTGTGTGTATGTGTGTGTGTGCGTGCGTGTGTGTGTGTGGGTGTCTGTCCGCTCGATATCTTTGCAACCGTAAAGAGGTAGACACTTCAAACTTGGTTCACATGTGCATCTTATGGAGCGCTGGAACCCCATTGATTCTGAATGACCTTGACCTTAGTATCATATAATAATTAAATATATTAATGTCATTAAGTATATTTCCAACGATGGGTCATAGCGGAAGGACCGTACCATTGCTAACGCGGGGCGGGGGTTCCAGGCGGTATTTCCCGGCGTGTTGTGTGTGGCCTTGTGTGTTCACTGCCCTGTAGAAGAAGCCAGTTCGTAGTTATGCATTTAGCATGCACATTGCACATTTGCAGATTTCATACAAACATACACGTACACAATTTCCCCATTTTCATTGTTTTAATTGCGTGTACAATGTATTTAGAATTTGTATATTAGAGGTTCAACATTCCTCCTTGTTCATATACATAAAATAAGGACATTTTTGGGTATACGCACGTATACCTAAAAAAAATAATTAGGCTATAAATACAAAAAATTAAAATAAATGTAGTCTCTAGTAGATCTACGAATTATGAAAATCGTCGACATTCATACGCTGCGCGTGGTGTTCCATAGAATTAATTTGTGTTGGCTATCCATATACGCGACTAACTTTTGACAAATCAAACGTAGGCCTACGTATTATCGACATTGATGATTGCGCATCCGCCTCCAAGGGCCGGCGGGGTGCGAAATTTTTTTCCCCACGAGAGTTCCGGACCCATCATAGATAGTGTTTTGTAATATATGGTTCTATTCGTATATGGTATATTCGTATATATATGGTTGGATTATAGTTAGTGTTAGGGTTCGGGTTCGGGGGTATTCATTTTACATTGTTGCTTCGAGGAAGTTGAGTGAATGGAGTGCGCCGATTGGCTGTGGTGAAGGTAAAGAATAGAGAGGAGAGAGGGAGAAGGCGAAGAAGTGAGAGGGGGGAGAGAGCGAGAAGGCGAAGAAGAGAGAGGAGCGAGAGGGACGAGAGGGGAGAAGGGAGAAGGCAAATAAGAGGGGCGATAGAGGGAGAAGGTGAAGAAGAGAGATGAGAGAGAGGGACGAGAGGGGAGAGAGGGAGAAGGCGAAGAAGAGAGGTGAGATAGGGAGGGACGAGAGGGGAGAGAGGGAGAAGGCGAAGAAGAGAGATGAGAGGAGAGAGAGGGACGAGAGAGAGGGAAGAGAGGGAGAATGCGAAGAAGAGAGATGAGAGGAGAGAGAGGGACGAGAGAGAGGGGAGAAAGGGAGAAGGCGAAGAAGAGAGAGGGAGGAGAGGGGAGAAAGGTAGAATAATAAGAAAAGAGATGAGAGGAGAGGAGAGAGAGGGACGAGAGGAAAGAGACGGAGAAGGCGAAGAAGAGGGACGAGAGGGAGAAGGCGAAGAAGAGAGAGGAGAGGGGAGAGAGTCAAAGAAGAGAAAGGTGAGAGGGACGAGAGAGAGAATGCGAAGAAGAGGGACGAGAGGGAGAGGGCGAAGGCAAAGAAGAGAGATGAGAATGCGAAGAGTAAGTGTCTGATAACCTTTTGACCCTCCAGAGGCGGGTTAAACATGGATTCCTGAACTGCCTGAATGATGTCACAGTGTTCTCAAATTCATGGCACATCCATAACGTAGAAAGCAAATAAGCCTGGATAGCCTAACGGCTACAGCACAGGATTACGGCTCAAAGGTCCTTGGATCAAATCCCATCAGATTTTTTATTATTTACCTGTTTTCTGTATTTTTTTATGTTTATCCATTTAACTATTTTTTTCCAATTAACGCAAATATTTACATGATTTATTTACAACAATTTCATAACAACAAATAATGTTTTTTTTAATAGGGTTAATGTTAGGGTCACAATGCACCATAAAACAGGAGTTTCAGGCACGCGATTTGTATCAACCAATGGGATTTTGGAGGTATGCAGAATGCAGAAGGTTGCTGAAATGATGTGTACGCAACTGCGTATCTGCATATCTGCGCCTAACAAAGGTGTCACTACGCACGACTTAAATGTTACGTATATAACCGTAGGTCAACAGACCTCAGATGAGCCCAGACGCTCTGCGGCTCTTGTTTAAAACTAAATGCCGAGCAAAAAGAACTAAATAGCAGCTACAACCACATTACTGTAAACTCGTAATGTAGAGGTACTACTTCTATCCATATGAGCATGTCACTATCTACTCTTACGTAATATCGTTCAACGTGATGACTAAACGCCAATTGAAATGAGAGCTGAGAGTTCTTATTTTATTGCTATATATATATACCAACTAGTAGTGGACGCTTATCGATTTATTGAAAATAAAATTCTGATATAACTTTCTAGAAACATGTCTATTGATTCATATTTTTTCTTCGAGAACCCAACACTGCACGCTGTAATATTCACTAGAACAAAACTATTAAAAATAATGTAATGAAATGTAATTTTTTTTAATCGATGTATGTAAATTTTGTGATTTAATAAGCAGATCTATATATTATGAAAATGAGGTGTCCAGCTTTTTCAAGTGGGTTGTATAGGGGATTGAATCACTAGGTATAAAATGCTGTTGTACTACACAATACTTGGAACATTTTTGTTATAATGTTAATTCTGCAGGTATTTAAGAAACAGCATCGGCCATAAAGCAGCTATGCTGCCACGCATTCTTCTTATTGGAAGCTGCAAACAATAACTCAACAACAGTTCCAGTGAAATTATATTTGCAGAGGGTTTCTGCACTAGGGTCCCTGGTGTTAGTGCATGACGTGTGTTTATTTGCATTTGTTGTTGAATATTTATATTATGTTAGATGCTACTGTCTTGCATCAGTAAGTAGCATTGACGCTAACCCATAAAACGTGGTTTGTAGTTAGCTATAATCAGGGGTAGAAATATGGAGAAAAAAAGAGTTTGAAATTTAGATAGTCCTCCTAAATTTTAGATGGTCCTCCTAAATTTCAAATTGTTCTCTAAAAGTAATGCGGCGTGCAAGAAATTTACCGTAAAATGTGACCAAAATATTCAATGGTCCGTCGGACCATTGACTTTGAAAATCTGATGGTCCTCCTGATTATTTGATGGCCCCGGACCATCGGACCATCGCTTATTTCGACCCCTGCTATTAAAATTGTATAATATTACGATAGGTTCCATATGTACACGAACTCACACACGCACGCACGCACGCACGTACGCCTGTATGCACACAGTATAAATCTGCTGGTGTTTTCTAGCATTACCGATATGTTGCCGGTGCTATAGATTCAGTAGATTGTGTGTTATAAACCTAGTGTTATCTAACGTATGCTGACCGTTGGGAGGGTTTTTGTGAGCATCAAAACAAACTAATTTGGATTTATTCAGACATTCAAAGAATTGGTTTTCGAACGAAACTTTAGGATTGTTTCCATTTTTGTTCGTAACTCAGCCGTGATTTGTGTAGTATGCCGACTGACAGTATGAACTTGGTGCTTATTTTATGGAGAGAGCGAGAGAGAGGGAGAGACAGTCAGAGAGAGCGCGCGCGAGAGAGAGTGAAGGAGGGAGAGAGACAGACAGAGAGAGCGCGCGCGCGAGAGAGAGAGAGGGGGGATAGATAGACAGAGAGAGCGAGATGGAGAGAGCGCGCGCGCGAGAGAGAGAGGAGAGAGAAGAGAGAGAGAGGAGGCTCCGTCGGAGGAGAGAGAGAGAGAGAGAGCGCGCGAGAGAGAGAGGCGGGAGGGGGAGAGAGACAGAGAGCACGCTAGAACGGGTGAGAGAGACCGCGAGAGATGGGAAGACAGAGAGCGAGAAAGAGATAGAAAACCGGTGATACACGCACAGAGAGCGATGGAAAGAGAGAGAGATAAAAAAAGAGAGAGAAGCGCATGCTCATCGTGTACGCAAACAAGTTTTGGTTGAAAACTCGTTATTCTTTATTGAATTGTATGTTATTGTGTAATATTACACCAAAACGAGCATTTATTATATCTTTTAGCCTGTCAGTAATGTTCAACCAGTGAGCCATCGTAGTGCATATGTAAGCAAATATAACTTGCCACCTAGTGGCAGAAACAAAGCGCGCATATACAAATGAATCACTTGATCGATCGTCACGCAGTCGTAGCCCGAAGCGTCCCAAGCATGTTCTCTCTGTGTTTTTGTAAAGTAATAAGTTAATGTTATATGAGTATATAAAAAGTACACATATACACAATGGTATTTATTATTGAGTAAAACTCAAACAACAAACCCTTTGCCGGGAACAAGCAGCCAATGTTCTGCAATTTGGAACACACCAAATTACGCACACAACGTCGCACAACACGCGCTTCACGCACACATGTCGCAGCACACGCTGTTTTCACGCACACACGCCCGAACACACGCGCTCACGCACACACGATAAAAAAATCGTGAGCCCTCTTAGGTGTCTTGGTTTTTGGTCCCCACCCCCCCCCATCCAAAACTGCTTCACGGCGCGGCCTGCCTCCAGGCTACATTAAACCTTCACGATGGGTTGAATATTTTCGGCTTTGTTGATGGCACCGGGGAAGTAGAGCAAGAAGTTGGAACCACCCTTGTCTTCTTTTCGAGGGCTTGAGCGAGTTTGGAAACTCAAGTGGACAGGTGGTCACACAGAGGATTGCCAAGTTTCTGAGGTAGTACTCTTTTGCAGATTCACTGGAGCATTGGCCCCTATAGATCTGTCGGGTGTTGACTTCTGTGCCCTGTGGCACTGAAATTGATTGTATCTAGAGATGTGCTAAGGCTGTACAGCATCTTCAGTACCACAGCCCATAACTCAATATTCTATTTCCTGTGCTCATAAAACGGTGATCTCGCTCACATTATCTTGTCTTCCATACCATATTGCCTGATATGATGGTCCAGATCCGTTTCTGCCAGCTTGGGAGGGTATTAGGCGGACATTCTCAAGAACATTTTTGGTGACAATAAAGGCGGTGAATGGTTTTGCGGATGACTCAAGGCCTCTTCAACGTGCGTGGTGACGTGTGTGTGTGTGTGTGTGTGCGTTCGTGGTGTGTGTGTGTGTGTGTCGTGTGTGTGTTGTGCTGTGTGTGTTCTGTTGTGTGTGTGTGTGTGTGTGTGTGTGTGTGTGTGTGTGTGTGTGCGCGCGTGCGTCCGTGCGTCCGTGCAATCCGTTGCATTGCGTGCGTGTGTGTGATTGATGTATGTGTGTGTGTGTGATGTGGTGTTTGTGATGTGTGTGAGTGTGTGTGTGTGTGTGTGGGTATGTGTGGTGTGTGTGTGAGTGTGTGTGTGTGTGCCGCGCGCGTCGTGCGTCCGTCGTCCGTGCCAATCCGTGCATGCGTGTGCTGGTGTGTGGTGCGTCCGTGCAATCCGGTGCATGCGTGTGTGTTGGTGTCACTGTGGTGTGTTGTCCAAACTGTGTGGTGGGGTGTCACTGCTGCGTGTGTGTGTGATGTGTGGCCTGTGTGTGTGTGTGTGTCGCAGTGCCGTGCGTGCGTGCGCGGTGTTTTCTATGTTTTTTGTGTTTCTGGTGTGCGTGCGTTGCGTGGGCCCTGTGTGTCGTGACTGTGTGTTGTTCTGTGCTGTGTGTGCGCTATTCGCGTGGCGTGCGTGCATGCATGCGTGTGTGTGCGCGCGCGTGGCGTGCGTGTGTGTGATTGCTTTTTTCACTTGGTTTTGTGGTAAAAAAGGGGGGGTCCGACTCCTTCGACCCCCGGAATGCCGCCCCTGCTGCTCATGATTATCGCGTCCGCACGTAGTGCAACGGAAGGATATTGTTTTTTCGTGCTCGTTTGTATTGTTGCGGCTTGTATGTGTGTGTGTGCATGTGTGTGTGTGTGGCTGTTGTGTGTGTGTGGGTGTGTGTGTGTGTGTGTGTGTGTGTGTGTGTATGCTGTGTGTGTATGTGTGCGTGTGGTGCGTGTTTGTTGTGTGTGTGGGTGTCTCCGTCCGCTCGATATCTTTGCAACCGTTAAAGATGGTAGACACTTCAAACTTGGTTCACATTGCTGCATGCTTATTGCGAGCGCTGGAAACCCATTGATTCTTGAATGACCTTGACCTTAGTGATCATATAATAATTAAATATATTAATGTCATTAAGTATATTTCAACGATGGGTCATAGCGGAAGCGACCGTACATTTGCTAACGCGGGGCGGGGGTTCCAGCGCGGTATTCCGGCGTGTTGTGTGTGGCTTGTGTTTCACTGCCCTGCTGTTAGAAGAAGCCAGTTTCGTAGTTATGCCATTTAGCATGCACATTGCACTATTTTGCAGATTTCATACAACATACACGTACACAATTTCCCCATTTTCATTGTTTTAATTGCGTGTACAATGTATTTATTAATTGTATATTTAGAGGCTTCAACATTCCTCACTTGTTCATATACTTAAAATACAGGACATTTTTGGGTATACGCACGTATTACCTAAAAAAAAATAATTATGGCCTACTAAATACAAAAAATTAAACATAAAAATGTAGTCTCGAGATAGATCTTACGAATTAATGAAACATCAGATCGACATTCATTTACGCTGCGCGTGCAACCGTGTTTCCAATAGAATTAATTTGATGTTGCTTCCCATATACGCGACTAACTTTTGGACAAATGCAACGTAGGCCTACGTATTATCGACATTGATGATTGCGCAATTTCCGCCTCCAAGGGCCGGCGGGTGCACTCGAAATTTTTTTCCCCACGAGAGTTTTCCGGACCCATCATAGATAGTGTTTTGTAATATATGTTCTATTCGTATATGGTATATTCGTATATATATGGTTGGATTATAGTTAGTGTAGGGTTCGGGTTCGGGGGTATTCATTATTACATTGTTTGCTTCGAGAAGTTGATGTGAATTGGATGTGCGCGATTGGCTGTGGTGAGGATAAGAATAGAGAGGAGAGAAGGGTCAGAAAGGCGAAGAAGTGAGAGGGAGGAGACGCAGAGAAGGGCGAGAGAAGAGAGAGGAAGCGAGAGGGACGAGAGGGGAGAAGGGAGAAGGCAAATAAGAGGGCGGATAGAGGGAAAGTGAAGAAGAGAGATGAGATTAGAGGCGACGAGAGGGGAGAGAGGGATGGATAGGCGAAGAAGAGAGGTGAGGATAGGGAGCGGACGAGAGGGGAGAGAGGAGAGGCGAGAAAGAAGAGAGATGAGCGGAGAGAGAGGACGAGGAGAGAGGGTAGAGAGGAGAATGCGGAAGAAGAGAGATGAGAGGAGAGAGAGGACGAGAGAGAGGTGAGCAAAGCGAGAAAGTGCGATAAGAGAGAGAGGGAGGAGAGGGAGAAAGGTATAGAAATAATAAGGAAAGGATGAGAGGCGAGGAGAGAAGAGGGACGACGAGGAAGCCAGACGGAGAAGGCGAAGAAGAGGGACGAGAGCGGAGAAGCGCGAAGAGAGAGAGGAAGAGGGGAGAGAGCTCAAAGAAGAGAAAGGTTGAGTGAGAGGGACGAGGAGAGAGGAATGCGAAGAGAGGGACGAGAGGGAGAGGGCGAAGGCAAAGAAGAGAGATGAGACGAGAGAGAGGGAGGAGAGAGAGAAGGCGAAGAAGAGAGGGGAGAGAGGGAGAAGGCAAAGAATAGGGACGAGAGGAAGAAGGCGAAGAAGAGAGATGAGAGGAGAGAGGAGAGAGGGAGAAGGTGAAGAAGAGAGAGGAGAGGGGAGAGAAGGAGAAGGCGAAGAAGAGAGGGATGAGAGAGAGGAGAGAGGGAGGCGAAGAAGAGAGGGACGAGAGAGAGGAGAGAGGGAGAAGGCGAAGAAGAGAGGGACAAGAGAGAGGAGAGAGGGAGAAAGCGAAGAAGAGAGATTAGAGGGGAGAGAGGGAGAAGGCAAAGAAGAGAGATGAGAGGAGAGGGGAGAGAGGAGAGAGAGGGAGAAGGCGAAAAAGAGAGGAGCGAGAGGGAGAAGGCAAAGAAGAGAGATGAGAGAGAGAGAGGGACGAGAGAGAGAAGGCGAAGAAGAGAGGAGAGAGATGGAGAAGGCGAAGAAGAGAGATGAGAGGCGAGAGGAGAGAGGGAGAAGGCGAAGAAGAGAGATGAGAGGCGAGAGGCGAGAGGCAAGAGGAGAGAGGAGAGAGGGAGAAGAGAGATGAGAGGAGAGAGGGAGAAGGCAAAGATGAGAGGAGAGAGAGGGAGAAGGCAAAGAAGAGAAGAGAGAGAGGGAGAATGCGGCCATCCCTGTCCAGCCAGCTCATCATCAAGTTACACTGTCCTTCAATAGAAGAGTGAGTATTATATCCACATATAAGTTAACAGTAACATTTTTAAAAATGTACCAAAAGTGAAATCAAACCAATAATCTGCAGTCTAATTAATACCAATAAAGATAATAGGTATTATTTACATTTTACTGTCCATTGTTTTGCAGCTTTGATCCAATGCCAGCCATACGGTTGTGGAACAGCAAGACCAGGAGGCCACTGTACATGGATACTGCCCACCGGGAAACCATAACAAAAGCAGCAATGGCAGTGAACAACGAGATCGCAGCCCACGAGGATGAGGCTGATCTCGAGCCACAGCCAACTGAACCAGAGGAGATTGTGCCAATGGAACCTGTGCAGACTAAACCTGACAATGACAGTGACGATCACGACTACAGTACAGAAGACAGAGTTTACATGGCCATGTGTAGTGAGGGACTGTTTCGGTTTGAAGAGTATCGAGGAGTTGAATAAAATAAGAAAAATCGTGTTGTGTGTGGTAACTTATGGTTCAAATTTTCTTTATTCAGGTAAAGAAGGCCACCGGCCCATATCACCAAATAGAATACATACAAGTTTCTGGCGCCACATCCATACAAATACTGCATACACAATACATACAAGTATGATGTATCATATTACTATGTGTCGTTATGGTTATGATTTATAGTTTAACCAAAAAAATACCAATGGAAAATTGGGCTACCACTTTTCATTTTGGGCCAGAAGAAATAAATTTCTGGTGGCCAAAATCTTTTTTTTCTCAGAGTGTCAAGCACAGTCTCTAACTATATCCATAACCTCTCGGATTTGACTGCAGAACCTCGTCAATCATGCCTTTTACCATACTGGTAGAATCAGGGCTCCCAATAAGGTCCACTGGTGTTTCTCTACCATCTGAATCATCCTTGCGAATATTTATTCTGGCGCTTGAGTTATCTTGCAGCTCTCTGATTTTGCATCCACCTTTTCCGATGATACGTCCCAGATCTCTATTGGGGACCATCATGGTGATCAAGCCACCCTCGTCCCTCCTTGCTGCGCCGCCTTCATATCTGCCCTCTCTACTGAAGCCTCCGCCTCCGCCTCCGCCTCCGCCTCCGCCTAAACATTAAAAATATTATGTCAATATAATAATGCTGAGCAATGGTAAAGTTAGCACTAATCCATTACCACTAGGGCTGTAACGATACACATACCTCTCGATTCGATCCGTATCTAGATATTAGCCTCGAGATTCGATTCCTTCGATTTCGATTCCCAAAATATTGAAGTGTTATTATCCAACCATTTTTACCAACTATCACATTCATGCTTTTTCTTAATTTTATATAACAAAATCACTTTAAACAGATAATTTAAATAATAACAGTAATAGGTCAAATGACTAGAAATTATGAGAAATTGCCAATTAATGGATACTAATGGTGAATATAGGGACCCAATTATAACCAAACATTACCTCTTAGTAGGTAGAATAAAAAGTCAAAGAATACCATACTTAAGTACGGGGCACAACCTTCCCAAAGAGTGATAAAATTGATTGTAGGTAGACATACTAGGTCAATTAAGTACTGGTCCTACTGGACAAAGCTTTGCCAAAAAATAATCAAGTGTCAAAGTGATCAGAAACTTAAAATAATAAACAGAGATTCATGGAGTCACAGTCACCAAATGCAATAAGATTGACAAATATAAGTAATAACAAATCTGTACGGTGTAGTTCTCAAACTCGAGCCCTGTAAACAACGTGTTAGCGATGTGCTGTAGCCGCTGATTAGCTGTCTGGCGAGTCGTGACTACTGACCAATCAGAGCACACGTCTCATACACACTTCGGCCGATGCATACAGTCTAAAAATTGGAGCGGATTGGATCGAATCGAAAATACAGGAAAAAATATCGAGGATCGGATCGAGGGAAAAGAATCGTGATCCGATTCGATTTCGGTGGATCGTTACAGCCCTAATTACCACTTTCTGCTTCAGCACAACATTGACTCACTTTTTAGCCACATATACGGATGGAGTGGTATAAAATCGCATAGTATATTGTGAAATCGAAATTGTGGGACCTGGTGGAGGCATGTTTGCAATAATATTGGGCAAATCAGGAACAAGTGATCCAAACCAGACAGATATGTTCCAAACAAACAAGTCCTTGATCCTTCTCACAAGTAGGAACTTAAGAGTCTATATGATGGTTAGGGAGACCATTTTGGTGTTATATTATGGTGTTCAATTTTGCAATTCAAACATACATATATGAGTCTTTCATAGCAGTATATTCTATGATGCAAAAAGTATTGAGCTAGAATGCATTTTATGATTTCGGAGCAAACGGGATGGAAGCATTTGGAAAACATAAGAGAACAAAGTTTTCCATCTTTATTTTGGTTCAGATGAAAGAAATTATGGATGTTTTTTTCAATAGATTAATAACTCTAATGGATCAGTGGCAATCGAAAAACCCTCACCATTAGGAATTCTACAAGATATGCTAGTCATAGCATTTACTTCACACAGAAAGAATATTTCAGCTGTTCCTTGTAAAGGTTTAGTATTTTTGAGAAAGAATTCTTGACCACATTAATGTTAGCAAACGTATCATACCTCTAGAATAGCCACCACCTTGAGGGCAATCTCTTGCTATGTGGCCTTCCTCATCACATTTGTAGCATGCCCTGCCACCACCGCCGCCGCCACCGCCGCCGCCGCCGCCTCTTCCACCGCCTTCAGAATCTGGACATTCTCTAGCAAAGTGGCCATCTTTCCCACACTTGTAGCACTCCCTGGAACCACCTCCTCCACCACCGCCTGTGGGGAAAACAGGTAGATCTAGATACAACACCATAGCTCAAGCTTAAATGCACATAAATAAGTAGCTACCTGATTTAGGTAAACATAAATGTGTCTGAGCTTTCTACTAGTGGCGGGCGCCATTATATTTGGTTTGCTGCATTGTAACCTAGCATGATGTCACATGACATTGACACACCATTATGATGCAAGTTGGGACATTTTTAGAGATAATTTTCTTTAGCGAATGCAGAATATGAAAGTAAGAGACAAACTTCAGGATACGCAGTGTTAAAATGCATGTACATATTCAAATAGTTAATAACCCAGGTGGGCTCGAGATGGCACGTGCACGTGTAAAAAATGGTGGCACCCAAATAATCTTGGAATGTTTGAATTTCAGTATTGCCGAGTTTTGTAAACACAATTTTATGCTAATCAGGTTTATTGGGATATTATAAAATGGCACATCAAGCAGCATTAATCCAACGTAAACAAACACTTGCGGCTGATACAATTTCCAAAATAAGCACTTTACATGGAATGCAGCAAAAGGTAAATAATTCTAATTTCACAGATTTTCATCAGGTAAGCATTTGAGCATATATTTAGTGCTGCTAGTAGTAGTACTAGAACTGTTTTTAAAACAAATATGTCTTATAAAGGTTACTCAATATAAATAGCATGAATAGTCAATACTTACCATATCCCCCTCCACGATCATCACGCCTTCCTCCTCCATCTCGATTCCAGTCTCCACCCCAGCTACTCATAGTTGCTCTATGTACTGAAAAACCAAAACATTTTTAATTCTAAGAAAAATTGCATTCCCTGTCATTTAACTATTCTCTCTACTTTACTGTCAGTTCGCCGTTTAACCACGAATAAAAATGCCTTTGAAAACCCCATACAAACCTGTGACGAGCTACTAACGTTTTATTTTAACCATATTGCCAACCTCTTGTTAACATGAATATCTTGACAAAATATACACAGAACACAAAAGACAGGAAATTTCCCTAGAAAGAGTTGGCAAGATTGGCTCACCTTCCTTGACACAATTAATGGTTTTAATCAAACACTAAAAACATGTTCTCTTTTGATGCAGTGGGTATTCAACTAAGCTTCAAGACCTTGTAATATTCTGATAATCGGCCAAGCCTAATCACATAATTTATAAAGATTCATACCGACCATCCTGCTATCGCCACCTACCAGACATATTAATAATAATCTAAGTTGAAAGTTATGCATAAAGACCCTGTGAAAATATGCAGTCGTCATCCATACTCGGCTAGTTAAAGGAAAAAGCTTAGCTGACCATGTCAGATGAGCTAATGAACAGTAACGAGGTAATGCTGTGGGCGATATTAGCTCAACCCTAAAAGCTGACAGTAACGGCAGAATGTCGTGCTATTAGCTACACGCTCGAAGAGTAGAGAAGTGTAGAAACTTATAAACCTAGACGAGATAGGTCCGCTCCCACACGGCTCAAACTATATTGCACGCAGGGCTTGAAACTAACCTAAAATGTTCACTAGCCAGCAGGGCTAGTGACCTGTAAAATCTACTAGCCCTTAAAAATATCTCCCAGCCCTTACTTTTCTGAAGTGCCGCGCTGAGGCTACGCAGTGAGTAAAATTTTGCCATTTGCGGGGAAGTGGGTGGATCTGGGATTTGATTTTAGACGCTCCGAGATGCATATTCTGCGAAATTCCTTGACTGTGAAAATTTTAGATTCAGCATATATTCAGTATATATATTAAATTATATATATATATATAATATTATATATAAATATACATAATATATATATTATATCAAGAGCTAATAAATACCTAGAGTGTACAACGGGAAAATAGTGCCATTTCACGGCAATATTATTCTACTTTGTATGCGGTCTAGACTAAGTCATGGGATTGCGTTAAGCAGCATTCTTTGCTCTCTAAAATAAGACAAACCGCTTGTCTCCTACGATACTCCTAGCCGAGATATTGGAGCGTAACCATGCCTCCCACAGGCCTCAGTAGAATAATATTGCCGTGAAATAGCACTATTTCCCAGTTTTTCCATTGTACACTCTAGGTGTATATTAGCTCTTGATATATATACCAGTGCTCAATTTTAAGGTTTTTTTTGGGTTGTCCGGAGGACAACCAAGAGAGTAGCATATGGTTGTCCCTCAAGAGTTTTGGTTATCCGGATATTATTTAAACATGTGCTGCATGCGCTCTGCTCACGTGATGCTCAGTGCTGTAAAGCAAAAGGCTAATCATGTACATTTTGTACGTATTGCAGTGACAGCAGACATGGCCATTCGCATTGTTTCACTCATTATATGAAGATAATAAAATATTGGTAATGTGGTAAATGATGGCTGGGATCAATGACGTATAATAATAGTAATTAAAAGTTGCATGAAATTTATTTCATAACACTTACATTAAGTTAACTAATGTGTACTAATAGTACTAAATAATACTACTAACATTACTAAAATTACTAACACTGTGTCAAGTCATAGATGAGTAAAAATAGAAAATTGACACGAAACATTAGGCGCGTTCACACACAAGAAAAACTACGCTGCTCAGCTCACTAATATCGGAGCGAATATTGAGCTGATTGTGTCGTTGTTCACACAGGCGAAAATAGCTCACTAATCGCCGCGGTGCAAATATACGCCGCAGTGAAATAAGTGAGCTGATTCCAAATTAGCCCAGTCGGAAGTGGTCTTAGGAGCGGGCTTTTTGGAGCGCGATTTAGTGAGCTAATTGCGTTCACACTCGTAAAAAGCTCAGTTTTTCGAGCGAGCTAAAAACCGGGTTTGCAGCTCACTAATTCGCGCCAGTGTGAACGCACCTTATTGTGTTAAAAACATTGTGTTAATAAACGAAACATTGTGTTGTTAAACACGTGATGTTATACTTTGTATCAAGGAAGCCAGACAATACGTCTAGACATATGTACGTTTGCAGCGTATTGTGCAACCCTGGCCGTATGTAAAATGAACGCGCGCATTATGAATATAAAAATTCCACTCGCCAACAGGGCTGGTCAGACAGACATTCTACTAGCCCTTACTGATTTCTACTAGCCTCGGGCGAGCGGCGAGCGTTAGTTTCAAGCCTGGCACGGTAAACATTAACTTCCATTTATAGTTAATATCGAATCCCAGGGCTCGAATTAAGCGACGAGAAGGGCAAGGCAATTTTTTTAGGGCATGTCAGAAATCGCCTTGAATTTTCTCTAAATGGAAGGGCACAGAGGCAATTTTAAAAGGCACCAAGGCAACTCTCAAAATTTGAGAAGGGCACAAAGGCACTTTTGTAAATTAGGAAAACTCATAACAAATTAGTACATCAACATCGTCTTGCTTTTAATGTACAAAACAATATGCCCCCATGTAAGCTTACACTGTAACACTGACCCCTGTACCCCTGTACCCTGTAATCTGCTAATGGAAGTACAGTAACAAGAAATTTTACATGCCCGCTATCAGGAGCGAATATTTATCCGATGCTGTTATTATTCCCTCCTGCGACTATTGGTTTTAACATTTAAGCTCATCATTGCAACTACAGCACGCACGCGCACGTGTTATGTTGACTCGACTAAAAACGAAACTAGGGCAGTAGATTAAAGGGCACCGACGGCAATTACACAAAAGGGCAAGGCAGGTGACTGCCGTCGGTCGGGTTGAATTTTCAGGGGCAGTACGGCGATTGATGGGGGCATCGACGGCAATTGCCGTCGGTGCCTTCGGTTAATTCGAGCCCTGTCGAATCCTATTGACACGGTTATAAAAATGTCATCTGCTAGCAAATATATCAAAAAGACCATTTGATTAAGATTGCATCAACGGGGTACGGCCGTATGTAGAGATAGCATCTGCTCATAAATTATTAGCGAAATCCAAACAAGAGCGTCGCTGGCGGCAGCGTGGAGAGATGCAGACACGGTCACACGACAGAATGTGGCGCGGCTGCTACAACACACGCACACGCACGCACGCACGCACGCACGCGCACGCACGCACGCACGCACGCACGCACACGTGCTCGCTATTCCTAACGACTGCGTGTATCAGAGCATGATGTATAGTCTAATTAAACTGTATACGCAAACGCCCACGCATGCACGCACATACAGATACATACACACTATAAATGTGTGTTTGCAGTATGTAGTAGTATAATTAGTAGTAGTAGTACTGCCTTTTATAGCCGTGAGCGTCAGAGCGATCCTATAGCGTAATTACAGCCGTGTAAGTAGGTGTATTAGACCATATAACATGACGAGTGGCTCACGAACAAGATTACCGAGGCAGTGTAAAAGCGGCTAGCATAACAAGTCGACACGTCAGTGTTTGCCCGACGAATTTGCAAAGATCTTATAATGACAACACACGATAATTGGTGCGCCCCGTGCGTGCGTGCGTGACTTTTGCACAGCGCCCGGTTGTTTTGCACGAGACATTTTATTAGTATTTTATGGATTAACAAATTACAATATCTCTAAAGAAAGGGAGAGGTAGAGAGATAGAGAGACTTTATCCCCCCCCAATTTTTAATGCAGATTCAGTGCGCCGCAGATTCGTCAAAAAATATTAATGTTTAGGGTCCCAATTTTATTTTTGCTTACTGGCCCCCCAATTATGTTGTGACGCCACTGCAACGCTAGCCCGACGAGGCTGTGCGACTGATTGTCTATGTCTATACATGATGGTCTGATGGTCTTCTAATGGAGCTACTGCAACGCGTGCGTGACGAGTTATGGAAGGAGAACAGTTGCACCCGCCGTGATGTCAGACAACTGCATTAATCAAATTCTAATTCTGCAGAATGCATACAAATTTTTTTCTAAACTACACTTAAAGCACATGACAATAATTTATATTGATCATATGAGCTCAACAAATAACAGAACTATACATAATAGGTTGAACAACTTCAACAAGCATATAGGCCAAAACAAAATATAGGCGTGGTTACGGTTTCCATCATTCCTTGATATACTTTTATACAGAGTCAGTACATAAGTTGATGTAGTCCGAGCCGACGCAGACCCCAGTAATGGGGTCTGCGGCCGCGTCTATCTCAATCACGGAAAGCCACCTCCAGTTTGGAGGTGGCACTTATAAGTAATATATGCGCCCGATATATACAATCCTATTCTATTGCGTGGAACTTAGGCCAAACAAAAAAATAGGTGTGTTTCCGGTCGCCCGACCGTCCCTAGATTATTAGTGCCGACCCTAAACTTTTTTTTCAAATTTGAAAAAAA